ACCCCCTTCCGCTCTCATCCCACCTGACCTCAGCAGCGTTGGACTGGCTGACGGTCCCCCTTCTCCTTAGTTTCTGGGATGCCACATAGCTACCCAGCACCCAGTGTTGGAGCGACCTTGGCTGCTAAGTCTCAGTAGGGTTGGCTGGCTCCGGTTGGCGATTTCTAAACCTTTGAGTATCTCAAGGCTCAACACCAGCCCTCTATCTAGAGACTCTCAGTGAGCACATGCAGACGGGGGGGCATGACTATCATCCAAACCCTCATGGATGCCAAATCTGCAAACCCATTTCTCGATTCCTGCCCCTCCCCTAAGCTCCAGACTCACACCCCACCCCCTCTCCTTGGCCTCTTTACCTGAATGTCTAATACAGCGTTGCCAACTCTGCATCACAGTGCACAGAGAAATGACATACCATACGTTGATCTTGGACTTTCCCTCTCACATTTAGATATACTGTCTAAATGTGAGAGGCAGGATAGCTGTTGGCCAGGTGGCAGTAATGATAATAGTCATCCCTGTTGTGCACTCACATCAAAACTTACAGACAGGGATCAGTAGTTTGGAAGACAATTCTGAAGTCGGTAGTGGAACACTCCTTAAGAGAGACAGCATGGCCAATAAAGTTGCAGGTTATGCTTGATGGCATCTTCTATTTAATGGCACATGGTATTTCTAGGGAACCCTGGGATAAAGAAGGATCTTTCTGAGGAAGGAGCCAAGCTAAGCAAAGGCCCCAATAACCCCAGACACCACTGGGCTGCCCTAAGGCATGAGAGAATCCATATCTTTGCCTGAGGGCTGGTCTGGGGCTACAGTGATGGGGACACTGGTGTAAGAGCCATGTCTAGTTTTACAAGTGCAAAGCAGAACTGATTCACCCACCAACCCACAAATACCTTCCCATCTAGAATAAATCCCACACTTCTCATTATAGTGTGGAGCATCTGTCTAATGAACATTCCTATTGAAGAAAATACTGTTGTTTAAGGAACATAGCTTGAAAAAACAACCATATTTCCAGTCTCCCTGGCCATCTTTCCCACGGTATTCCCAGCAATCAAACACAGAGTGGACACAGAAGAAACATTCAGTAGATATTCTCCCCCATAATTATGGAGCACAGGTACATTTCATTTCTCACCACTGTTACCGAATGGAGGAGCTGCAAGTAAGGACAGAGAATGAAAAAATATAGTACAGAGCATGTAGATAGCATTAATACAGGAGACCACTGATCATTGTGAGCAGGTTTGTGTGTGTATGCATGAGTGTGCCTGTGTGTGCACGTGGGTGTGTCCAGTACCACAAGTCCTAGATGCTGAGGATAAATGTCAGTCACCACCCAATGGAAACTTACTATGTGGACATGCACACTCAATAGATATTATTAGAATTGCTGAGTGAATAATCCTATGTGAAGCTCACTATAACTGAAAGTGAGGCAGATTAACTCATTTTACCAAGAAAAACAAAAGCTTGTTGTACTTAGGTGGGACACAACTTCTGGGACCAGAAGACGAATTTCAAGGCCCAACCCCACGTTTACCATTGTTGGCTGCCTTCTGAGCAGAATTGTGGGAGCCGCTTCTCCTTCTCTATGTAGACTGTTTTCTAACCCCAAATGGTGCTAAATCTAAGCTACTACTTAATGTGAATGCTGTAAGCATTGGAAAAAGTACTCAAAGAATAAACAGAAAATGCAAATTCTCTTTTCATAACCTTGGCTACATCACTGAAACTTTCTGAGCCTCAGTTTCCTTCTCTTCCTTCAGGGATGGTGTTAGAATTCAAGACCGACTAAGTGTCGAATACAAGCTCGTCTGCAACATCCCATTCACTCCCCACAAGATCCTGACATGAGGGCTTCTCCCCTGCCACCCCCCTCCCCCATGGAGGAATGGAGCCTGTAAACACAGGGTCTGGTAGCCATGTGGGGAGACCAGAGAGAACCAGTTCTCTCCACTGCCCTGGTTGCACATTTGGAAGTGCTTTGTAAACCATAATATACTATAGAATGTACTGTTCTTACTGCAAAGGGAGTTTTCATCAACATTCATGAAATACACACATTGGTCCATGGCTTATTAAAATAACCCCACCCACCTATCAACCAGTTTGATGGACATTGCTTTCTTATTCCGGGCTGACCCATATGTTCTGTTCTCTTGCGCTGTTGTCCGATGGGAATTTTTACATTCCTATTAACCACACAAAATTCTCTCCCATTGTTGATATTGCTCAGAAAGGGAGGGCAGCAGTCATTCTTAACTTTGCTTTGTAAAAGTCAGGATATTTCTTATTATTTTATGGAAGTTTTAATAATGTCATAGTAAATGTAACTTATTTAACAGCCACATACACATACAACACTTGAACAGGATATGCATGTCCCAAAGTAAAAAATGATAAGACAGGTCTCCATTCCTCCACACACACACACAAGCAATCCTTCTGGTGTCACTGGGCTTCACCTTGTCAGTCACAGGGTAATTAAGAAGCACGTTGAGGCATTTCTTGTTATTAATCCTCATATGAGGATATTTACCCCTTGGGAATCTTGAAATCTGGGCACAACAACTATGTGGACATGCACACTCAATAGATATTATCAGAATTGCTGAGTGAATAATCCTATGTGAAGCTCACTATAACTGAAAGTGAGGCAGATTAACTCATTTTACCAAGAAAAACAAAAGCTTGTTGGACTTAGGTGGGACACAACTTCTGTGACCAGAAGACGGATGATTTCAAGGCCCAACCCCATGGGTTGATAGGTGGGGTTATTTTAATAAGCCATGGACCAATGTGTGTATTTCATGAATGTTGATGAAAACTCCCTTTGCAGTAAGAACAGTACATTCTATAGTATATTATGGCTACCAGTGCCCCTGTGGGGAGACCAGAGATAACCAGCTCTTTCTACCGCCCTGGTTGCACATTTGGAAGTGCTTTGTAAACCATTGATCTTAGAGAGAGTGGAAAGGAGAGGGAGAGGCAGATAGAAACATTAATGTGAGAGACACATTGACTGGTTGCCTCTCACATGGGACCCGACCAGGGCCGGGGATTAAGCTGCAACTGGTACATGCCCTTGACTGGAATTGAACCTGATACCCTTCAATCCTTGGGCTGATGCTCTATCCACTGATGAAAAGCCTTCTGGTAGCCATGTGGGGAGACCAGAGAGAACCAGTTCTTGCTACCGCCCTGGTTGCACATTTGGAAGTGCTTTGTAAACCATTGATCTTAGAGAGAGTGGAAAGGAGAGGGAGAGGCAGATAGAAACATTAATGTGAGAGACACATTGACTGGTTGCCTCTCACATGGGACCCGACCAGGGCCGGGGATTAAGCTGCAACTGGTACATGCCCTTGACTGGAATTGAACCCAATACCCTTCAATCCTTGGGCTGATGCTCTAGCCACTGATGAAAAGCATGTTTTAAAAGTAATTCCATACCTCATAATGGACATGAAGGTCAAGTTTAGTCACATAGATCAGTTATCCTTTAGCTAAGGGTATTTGAAGAAAAATATAACCAGCCTTAATTGTGGCAAAATATTCCTCTTTATTTGGAAGTTAGAAACTGCAAAAAAGATGAGGGTATTGAAACCATGACTACTGATTTCCTGCAGAATTGCAAATGCTATGTAAGTTATTTATGAAAAAATATGCTTTAGCAGAGAAATGGCGTTGGGGATCATTTGATTTCTGGCTCTTTCGCTGAGTCATTATTGAACCTGGTGCAGGCTACTTTCACTCTCTGATTATAGTTCCATAGTGGAGGCAATAATACCAATCATACATGGGATTCAAGTAGTTATTCAATATTATGTCTTAGCATTTATCTCCTTGTATAAAATTTCTTGCAAGAGTATATGAATTGTTATAAGTTTAACACATAAACATGACAAAAACATTGAGAACAAAGAGGCTTTCAGCAAGATAAAATCATCTCTGGGGAGTCTGAAATCTGAAATGGAAAAATAACATATTTTTGTTGGCTTTTTACAAAAATGAATCTATCCATAACTCAGTGGTACTAGGATATTATTTTACCCCTTTCCCCGTAATTTTTTTTTTCTCAAAAGGCTCTTTAGGAATGGTGGAAGTGATCAGGTTTCATGGGAGGGGGAGTACGGACTTGAGCCTTGAAGGTTGAGCAGGACCCCTTTTTGGTTGACAGGAAGTAACAGATCTGTACAATGAAAACTGTAAGG